GTGATTCTTCTCTTAGTGTCTTCAACAGTTGCAAAATATATTCAAAAGTGAATCGTGGGTATGACGATTGAAATGGATATCKCACGGATGTTGTAGATCACGTCTATTGACAAGAATGAGTAAGTACCGTTTTTTGTACGACAATATGGCGAGAGCGAGAGTTATCGCGAACGAGTCAGCGGAACGAGAGAGAAGCGGTCCGTGTCGATGCGTTGTCCAAGCCCCAAGGCGACGCGCTAAACCGACGGCTGTTAAGGGAGTGTTACCAACGACTTACAGTGCCGGTACAGATCGGGATGAAATCATGTTAGATGTTACGGTGATGCCATTTCAATAGTAATAATTTAAATATGTGGGTTTATTTTGAATTTGCGCGGGTGAAATGAAACTATCTACCTTCGCAAATGTGAGAAGTTTGAATTTTAGAATTTTCATAATAAATAATAACGTCGAATCAAATTAAATTCTAGTGAAAAATACATGTATATTTTATTTGAACTCTTGTTTTAAATAGCTAGGTATTTTTGAGTTTTAAAGATAAAAGGTCCATAGTAATGAGCTTATAATATGTGGGATGAGTTGGCTATGGGGTTTTAAATATTTTAGTGATTAATTAACCCATCGTCAAAATTAATAATTTGTAAAGATGGTCCAAGTATAACAAATACTAATTCCAACATTACGTCTATTTTATATTTTTGTTAAACGGGTTTCAAGGACAATTAATCACCCTTAGATTTAAAAATTCCAAAGATTAAAATTTGAATATATTTATTATTAAAGGAAAATAGTGAGATGAATGCTTGGCGAATCACCTTTTATATATTTTTTGTGTTGGCACTGTTATATGGGAACTGACATTTTTTCAAAAGGTTTAGCCCCCGTAAAGCAACATTTATCGAAATCTTTAACAAATAATATAACTTGTTAACCTCAGATCATAAATGATATAAAAATAATATATACTTAAATTGCTTATCTTATACCCTTACAAATCCTTAAAAACATTAGAACAATCAAATTTTATTTATCATTTTTTTTTTGATTTTGGCATTGATTCACTGTCAACCATCTTGGCTGACCGTGCTTGACCTTTAGACCAGCTGGCCTAAAACCACCGCTCTGGAATTCAGTACTAAGATCGTACCACAGCAGCCTGCTCTCTCCTAGACTTCCTTAAGAGTTATGATCTACCATTTTGTAAAAGATCTTAAATATTTCTTCAGCTACAAATTTTATGATACTATTTATATTACGTGAAGCCAGTGCCCCCCCCCCACCACCACACAGAAATTCATGTCTTGGAATGCGTCCGATTTTGTTAGACGACATTAACGTACATTAAGGCATATAATAATTTTAGTTTGGTTTCGATCTTGTTGTTGTTGTAAACGTTTGTATAATCTTTGTTAAATAAAACTTTAACTCAAAAAATACTATAAAATTACTTCGGTGATTTTCAGGGTGCTGGAAGCGCTCTGTTTCTAAGGAGTAAACTATAGGCAATTAGTTTAACAGTGATAATTGTTGTTGTTTGAATAGCAAATTAACGTTTGTGTGATTTTCCGGCAACGCTACCATTACTTCCCGCATATTCAACAACAGTGTGATATTTTGAGAAGCAACTAGCAGTTCTCACGCGCATGCAAAAGTCATTGCATTTGATGAAATAATATATGTTTTCTAATGTGGAAACTAATTATAATCAATCTAGCCCTAAAAGCCTGACAAAAATACGTCAACTCAGAATGATCAGATTTCAATTCTGTGAAAATATTTATACTTATCGTTGTCTTTTTAAGGTTATTGTGAAAGTCAATTTTAAATTAATCGTTTAACTTTTTTTTTAAGACACAAAATTGTAAAAAATTACAAAAAAATTAACGCTAAGAAGATTTAAGAACAATTTTTAAAGAAACATCACAAATTGATTTCTACAATAACAAAAAAAGTCGATGAACTCAAATCATTTTACAAATTTAAAATTAGATTATTTTAAGCATGCGTAATCTTGTCAAGTTTTTAGACTAAATTTTAGATTCTAAAACGTGAAATAAATACATTGCTTCCAACCCTACCTTAAGCAAAAAAATAAAACATTATTTAATAGTTATGGATACAAATTTAATCCGTGTTGATTTATAACATTAAGAAGGTATCATCTAAGGTTTTTTAAGTTTTAGATTCTGAACGAAGTGATGAATGTATTGATTTTACAATGATGATTTTTTCATTTATTTCGTTGTCTGTGTACAGCATAACTAGTCTAAATAGTAAATAATGCTTCAATGTAAAACTTTGGGGGTGGTTTCCGATGTAAAAGTGAATATCCTTGGTGCATTATACAGGTCAAAAGTAAACATTTTCCAACAGTTTTCAAAAAATCGAGAAAAACAAAATAAATAATAACAGAAAAACGGGAATTTTTACGCAAAACCAGTTTTCGACCAAATTGATTTTTTTATATGGTTGTAATTCAAAAACTAATCACTGTAAATACTTGAAATTTTCACCAAATGTTTATGTTAATGTTATCTATATGCAGTTTAATTTTTTGACTTTTTTGAGTTATTTATAGACCACTGAAATTTTCGATTTTTTTTGAGAATTTTTTTTTAATGTTAGAAAAAAATTTTGGATGACCAAAAAAACTTGAAAATTTAATACAAGGTTCCTTATAAGTTGTTCTGATTGCAGCTAAAAAAAAATTAAAAACCATTTGACACAATTTTTTTTATAAGCGTTTATAGTTCAGATTTTCTACGAAATCTGTCGAAAACGCGAAAATTCGCAAGTAATTTTGAAGTTGAAAAATCATAAAATTGTTTGTGTTTATAAATAAGGACTAAAAATACGACACTAAGTTTTCCATAAGTTTTCATTCAAGTAGCTATAGAGAAAACTTGAAGCATCATTATAGGAAAAATTTTAAGTGGAAAAAGGATTTTGGGGACACAATTCATGTGCAGCACTACATTAGGTACTATGTACACAATATATAATACGTCACCAAATATTTTAGAATACAACAACTCAGTCAATCTGTTATGTTATAGAACTTTGTTAAATTTTAAATCAGTACCGCCTCTTGAATTTCCTATGTGAAAAATTGAAATGAATTCGGCAACAAAAATATGCAAAAAAAATATAAAATAATAGGCTTACAACGCGTATTCGTTAAGTTCATGAAGAAAAGAATATTGTATGATGTATTTTATAAATTTATATTTATTTATTTTAGATTTAAAGTTTTGAGAAGTACTTTATAGACACAATGATGTGATATTGTTTTTATGTATAAACCATTTGAAAAAAAATTCTATGTAAAAGTTAATTTTTTAGTTAATCCCATCTCTATTAGTACGGAAACTGCTTCTTGTTGGCTAGATGGTTCATGGTATAAATAGTATGCAGCTTAAAATCAATCCAAATATTTGTCTTTGTGTACAGTAAGTCAGTAAAATATAAGTTATTATATAAATAAAAGCATTGAATACCCATGAATAATATTTTTGAATTATAACAAAGTAATTAACATCATTTTACTTGGTGTAAAATTTAAAATATCTAATTTCGTCGAATTTTATACTCCAAGTGTCACATTTAGTGTTCGTCGTGCACATATGCATTAGTTCAACAACAGCTGCTGATATGGTGATTTAGTTTTCCAGTCCCCAAAAAATCAATTATCTCTACTTACCTTCTAACCAGTATATTTTTAAATATGGCATAGATGCTGCTTCGTGTTGCACGGTGAGTCATAAGTTTAACCAACCTTTGCAGGGGAACCGACGGTGGAGTGTATGACAGGGCACCAGCATAGGACCTATAGTTTATTAGCAATACGGCATTATGACAATACCTATTTCTTTCCTGGCCTTGTTATATTAATATTAATTTAATATTATGAATTATTTACTTGATTTTATTACTTACTCAATTTATTTTACAGTAACAAATTAAGATATTATCTTTGAATATTTTAGCACTAAGGTAAGCAATCAAAAATATTGCCTACTTAACAATTTTTTTAAATTAATGACTTTAAGGACATACCTTGACAGGTTAAAAATTCAAAAAGTTATCGATTATGACAATAAAACCTACCAATAATTAATGCTTTATCAGCTGCAAAGATATGTGGGAAATTTGTGCTTGTTATTAGCACTGAAATTGGATTGATATACATACTTAAATATTGATTTTTGAATAATTTTTAATTTTCATTGTTTTATTTAATTTAATTTTTTTGGGRTTGGAGGGTGTTGTAGGTTAGAATAAAAATAAATAGGAATAGGTATTTGCATTGGAACCTAATAAAAAAAAATAGGTACGAAACGAGGCAGGTTATCAGATAAAAATTTTAAAAAAATGAAAGTGATAAGATCAGCTATTGTGTGTCAAGAACACTGGTACTAGTAATAATCCTATAAAAAAAATAATATCTATAATCTATATACATTCGTACAAGTTTACACAACATGACTAGATAAATAAGTATGATCCCAACTTAGTGACACGCATACTGCCTTTGCCTTATCTATTGAATAATTCTCTATTTCTATTATATTCTATTAGTATTGACGACCAATAAAATATGAGACAAACTACGAGCAATGGTTTTTGTGTAGAATAGTGGGGATATGCGCCATACAGGCGATAACTGATTTTTGTGATCATGTATTTGAGCATTTCTACTTAGTACTTAGTCATGGTATAGGTACTCGTACGTTACAAACGTGTACTACCAAACCGGCGACCACTACGACTGTGTGATTGATAATGTATWATAAGATTTAGGATTTGTTATTTATATTTATGGTGTCGTGCTCGTTCTATAATCTTAATTTTGATTCAGTAATATATATATTAGATTTTCACGTATACTTTGCAACAGTCAAAAGTGAGTTGTGTGTTTTTAAGTAACTCCATTTTACGATTCGCGGGATATTGTAGATGCAAAATTGTGTGATTCTATTTTGAACATTACCTTTTATAAAGTGTTCTGATGATCTCGAATAAAATTTTTTCACAACTATTTTTTATTCTTAATCCTGAATCTTTGCATTTTCATTGACATTAATAAATAGTTACCCAGTGATAAGAACTTACGTCTACTGCTGCCTTATCGTCATCGGGCATTGTATATCTAATATAAACCTTTTAATAACACCTTGCGAACTTAATCATTCATAAAATTATCCGGCGGGTTATATAGGCATACTCAGCGGGTGTGAACGAGTTCATATCTAGCAGTTCGTATACCATGTGGCATGTATAGATAACGGTGTATATTATAGCGCTCAATCGTCTCGGCACTTAATTGTCACAACACCCAATTGTCGCCACTCGATTTCCATATCTATACGGGTGTGCTTAAGTATAATACAATTTTCAAATAATAGGTAGGTAGTAGGTACGGAAGGATAAAGGTTAGGAGTCAGTTGAGTACATGGGTATGCGTATCGTTATCAGCAGTATCTGATAGCAATAATAATTTGTAAATGTGCGTACCTACTAGCTCAGTGATGCCCAACCTTTATTGTTCAACGTGCCATTTAGGTAATCTATCATCTTCAAGCGGACTACCAAATATATATTTATTTATTTTATTATTATCATTACTATTATAAAATAAATAAATATAATTTTACTTGTTTCAGAATATTTTGTTTTATTTAAAAATTTTGTAACGGGCTACTCAGAATACTTTCGAGTCACAGGTGGCCCGCGGTCCGCAGGTTGAGCACCAGTGTAGGTACTAGGTTGTGCCAAATGTTACTAAAACCACGTTTTTATTAATTATTATCATATTATATAATGTTTGTATAATGTTCTACTTATTAGTTATTCGTATTTATAAATAATATATTATTTAATAACTGTGCGTTTCAGAATACTCTGAAGACATTTTCACCATGTCGTCCCATTCGAATGAAAATCAGGAGAAAATCGACACCGAGAACAACGGGAACCACAAAAGTTCCAACAAAGATGGAGGCACCAAGTGGTCATTAGACATGTTGGCTACGTGCCCACTGGTATTGATTCGTTCCGATCCGAAATTGCGCACCATCTATGACAAGGGTTTCATGTCCGGTTTTTACGGGCAGAATTCAATGCAATCTACAGCTGTGTCATTGCCGAGAGAATCTGAGGATGCTTCGCTTACGTCACCGTCGGAAGTGGAGGATGTGAAGAGCTTGGATACTGTTCATCCGATAAATACCAGTATGGTTGACGCGATGGACACGGCTATAGAGTCAGCATTGAACATGGCGTTAATAATATCTGAAACTTCTTCGATGTTGGCTCTCGTGATACAGAACATTGTATTGCACAATGGAAGACCATAACGTCCGTAGCATAGACAGCCCTAAAATGAAATTATACTTCTGATTATATTATTGTGGTGTATAATATATATTATATAATATGTAGAAGTACTGTAATTTCAATTATATTAAATAATAAAAAKTTGAATTCAACTAAAAAGCATAATGTTCTAAAAAAATTTAATTAACAATTAGTCATACTAAAGTAGGTTGAACTAATTTATGTTAATAATATAAATTCCATATTGTACTCCATGTTATATGACAATTTGATAGTGAATTCTAATATTTTTATATACCTATATAATATCACTAACTTAATTCAATACTGGCGTCTAACGTAGCGACGTAATATGGAAGCATAGAACAATATTAGTAGTTTTTATAGGGGTAATTTTAAATTTTAAGGTGTGCTGAAATTAATTTTAATCTATTACATCTGTAATGCACTTATTATTGTATGAGTATTTATCTTATAGTATTTAAGCTTATAGTCGAATGAATGGATTTTTTATTATAAAATATAATGGTCACGGTTAAAGGTACATAATATAATTCAGTGGAAGTTATTTGATTGATAAAAACTACAATTAAATTACATTTTTTAAATCATTAAAAAAATATAAAAGTTATACATCATATTTTATGATAGGACTATGGACACATTTTATTCTTATTTGATATATTATGTAATTATAGTGTGGGGGCATGTATACCTACAGTAAACAATAAAATGTTTAAAAAGTCATAACAAACAATATTTATTTTTAACAACAATCTATCTAATATTGTTCAAGTTTTTTTGATATTTTAAAATCATTATTACTAAAATTAAATATACCTCATATTAAATTATCAAATTGTTTGATCAAGCATAATCAAATTTGTTAAAATTGAGGTTTAGTACAAAAAAACGGTGGTTATGTGAGGTGAGAAGTGGGTAAATAGGTACCACCTTGCAGCTGTACAGCATTTGTCAAGTATGCCATTGCAATGGATGTATTAGATTATAATTCATTCATAAACCATTGCATACGAAAAACAATTCTGAGTGGAAATAGTGTGTCATCCTATCATACTTGTAAAATATAATCAAATTTAATGAATAAAAATCGATAATATTTAAAGGCCATAAATACTCAAAAAGAGTATAAATATTTTGAAAATTTTACCATGCATAAATAATAAAAATAATAACAATAGTTATCATCAGAAATATCAAATATTATATTTTATAAACATATTGCATATTCATATTATATATATATTTTATTATAAATACTAAAGTTATAGAAATAACCGCGTCATTGAGTTAATAATTATATTTGATTAGTAGAGCACAGAATTTTATGCAATAACATATTATTTACACTTTTTGGATTTTGTCAGTTATCTTCACAAATTTTAATAGTTGGAATTTCTGTACATTTAATGGTTATAGCATATTTTTAGGTATTTTTACAAACATTTTTAAATCTATCGCATACTAAACTTAAAATTTAAAATAATATTTTGACAAGTAGAAATATTTAAGATAATTTTGTTGGCATTAAATAATAACTGAAATAAAAATAAGATGAATAATTGATTATGATAAACATTATTTTGTGTCTACTTCAAATTTTTTAAATATATTAAATTGTCCTGAAAATTCCCACCATTTTTTTTCATTGAGCATTAAGTAATGCATTATTATAACTTATTTAATTTGTAAATTTTAAATGAATAAAAAAAAAATGTGTGCATATTTGTATGATTTTTACTGCATACTACCTATACGGCATATTTTGATACTTTTTAGTGCATATAATCTGTGCTTTATTGAGAAGTGATAACTATTTACTCAGTATCCTCACTATCCTATACATTTGAATACTCATTAATCATTTTATATTCTATTACTTGATATTTATTATTTATAAAATTAATTGTATTTATTCATAGATTAACAATTGCATAATTATTTGGTAGGTATTCATAATTTAGCATAGTCATAGACTATTATTAGCTAAAAAAGTAATAAAAATAATTAAATTTTTTGTTAGATTTTGTTATTGGTTAAAGTATTAAAACAGCTATACATATTAGTACTTTCAGCAGATAATTATATTATAATATTTTAGATTAAAGTCTGAACAAGTTAATAATAATTTTTAGTTGAATTAAGGTAAGTTGATAGAAAACAATTAAATAATTTAAAGTTAATAGTTATCTTAATATATTCTAATAAATACTAAATAAACTTAAAAATTACTTAATACCTTTAAAATATATATATATTTAAATACTAAATAGCCAGTAATATGGTTTACAACAATAAATATTAACAATAAAATATATGAATACCTATTTTAAAAATATATATGAGTATAACTCAATTGGTTTTAATTAAAAAACTTAAGACAATAATAAATTGTTATGTCATTTTTATACTATTATTAAATTGTGTGTTTTATAATATGTTCTTATTGAGATTTGTAAATTTTTATTGTAATGATTTACAGAATACTGACTCCTCATTTATGACGCACTTTGTAAAATTGTTTAAGTTAACATAACACAGAAACGTAGAGTACGGACATATGGTTTGTTGAAATAGCCAGTCAATCGAGTCTTAATCGCTAAGTAGAGGATAACAGCCATCGCTATATTTTTAAGTAACATTAATATTTGGATTTACTATAGGTATAAGGTATAACAATCTACCTCATAGCTTCATTACAATTTAATAGTTACAACTTTTTCTCTACTACTCCTGTGATATTCAATACACCACCCTTAAAAACAGGGTCACTCAGGTGATAGTTTACCTACTGTATAATATTATTATTATTCAACTTATTAATAAACCTTGTATATGTTACTACATATTTATATTGTGTTCAATTGTATTAGTTTATGACAAAGGTGGGCACATGCCAGTGGCACAAAATATGGATTAGGAATGGGGCGCAAAATTTGATATAATTAAATTTGAAAATCTAGGTAGGGTCTACAAATTACAAATTTGTATTTTGCCAGGAGCGCCGCTATTGATCAGCTCAACCCTAGTTTTGAATACAGGATATAAGTTCCCAGTACCTGTAAAATATTACTTAAGAAACTTTACTTATATACATTCAAAAAATCAGTTCTCAATACCGATTCGTGTAAGAATAGTGAACCAACAGCTACTTTTTAACTGAATAGGATTTGGTATGTATAATGAAAATCACTCCGTTTAATTAAATGAGGTAGGCATGTTACAGTACTTAGGTCAGATTAGTATTTATTTTTATAAATATGCAATATTGGGTATACATTATTAATATTATTATTATAACAAATTATTATTAAAATATGCCAATATGACGTTGTATGGTATGGTATTTACTATATTTGTATTTAATTAGGTTATTTAAATTGTTTAATATTGATAATAAATTTAATAGATGCAATTTTAACAGCAGTATTTACATTCAGTGAATTTAAAACAGTATTAATTTTGACCAAATTAATTTTTTAAGTACTCGTGTGTAGATTTTTAATGAAACTATTTACCATTTTATATTATATAGATACAATATTTTTATTTAAATAAAAATAAAACTATTAAATTTATATAAAATATAGACATGTAAAGATGTATGTATAAAATATTCTTATAATGAGTCAACTCCTGATCAATATAAAATATTGTGTTTATTAATTATAGTAATGTTTGACAAGCCTTGTTAAATTCGTGCGATTTGCAGCATATCAACGCCACTTTTCTAGTTTTAACTGTACAATTTCCATACTAAAAATATTAGTTCTGACATAATTTAGGTGATTTATAGGCACAAATAATAGGTATCTAAGAAGTTTTTAAATTATTCTTATGTCTAATAACTTCTTGTTAAATTGACTATAGGGATAATAATATTTATTTTATTCTTAGTGTAATGAGTTAAAAATAAGGTATATAATTATTAATATGAGATAGTATTTTAAATGTTATTTGTTTTTGATGTTTATCTCTAACTCATCACTTTGTAAGATAAATTATGGGGTCGGGTAAGAGAGTTTTTCCTTTTGAATAAAATAATGTATGGAAAATATCTATTGTATGAATTTTAACTTAACTTTTGAATGACTTGAGATTTGAAATTATTTTTGATGCAACTTGATGTAGTACATGGGTGGCCTGGGTGGAAAAAGATATGCAAGAATATAATATTCAACATATCGAAAGATATGATATTAAAGTGAATTAAATTTATTTAAACTTGTAAAAATTCGACACAGAAAAAGATTATACATTTATGGTTACAATGTTGGGTAAGCAACTGAGAGTGGAATTGATTGTTGTTTGCCTTTTTATAGACATGATATGCCGCCTTGTGATTAAATTTGGAGATTGCGGCGTTACTCATTTGTGTGTCATCATTAGTATCTTATTCACTAAATAGCTCATATTTGTACAGCTGCAAAGATTGTGATTATTTCTAAATCTAAGAGTTATTTAATTAATTGTAATTTTATTTTATTGTTGATTAATGTTTGTATAGCTGTGCAAATAATATTCTATTTATTTCTTTAATTCTAAAAGTAATTTAGTTCATAATAATATATATTTTGTTAGTCTATRTTTGTGCAGCTGTTCAGATAATTTATTATTTATTTAATTAAATCTAAAAGACATATTAATGAATAAAAATATATAATTTTCTAATTTTTGTTTGAGCAGCTGTATGGATATTTTATTAAAATTTAAATAATGATATATAATAATTAATAATGTATATATCATTACATTAAGTACAATAATTTCATGGTGAAGGTAATTTATTACTTCATGAAAAATGCTGTTGTTACATTCTTCCATTCGAAATATCACCAGTGATAGGTAAATACTGTAAATACCTAAAACCAATTGGAAATAATATTATATGTCAATCTAGTTAACAATATTTTAACTATCACTCAATACTCACAGATATACATCAATGTATAAGAATAATAATTAATAGTAAATACATTGACACTTGACATATACAGGAAAATGTAGTCTATGGAGGACCAACCACATGTTGATAATTTTCTCTGAA